ACAATGCTAAGTCATTTAATAATATTTTCCACACGAATGAGACTTCTAAAGGTAATATGTAGAAAATTAACTATTTTGGTAGAAATGTTCACATTTATTTATCCTTATTCATTATATAAAATCATGAGAATACAAAAAATTCATATTAATCTCATTTATATAAGAAAAATTATGATCATGTCTCATATTAGACTCCTAGAAATTTTGTGCTTTATACTAACGTTAGAGGACCCAAAAAGATTTGGGTACCAAAGTTAAGTTATGATGGAGATGTTCCTTAAAAATAAATTTAGAATGGTGTGTGATAGTGGCGGTTCAAATCATATGAACAAAGGTGGAAAGGGTTTTACACCAAAATCGTGAAGGCACGTGAGACTCCAACAAAAGGGTGCATACAACAACGAGCAAATGGAGGTTTTTTCTTTCCGCTACTCCATTTTGTTATGGAGTTAAAGGCCATGACCTTTGAGATGTAATTCCATTAGATTGAAAATATTCCTAAAATGAGTGTGACGTGTATTCCCATCCATTGTCAGAGCGGAATATTTTAATTTTTGATGAAAATTGGGTCTGAACATAAGCATGAAAACATTTGAAAATGGAAAAGACTTCATCTTTTGTTCGCAAAAAATAGACCCGCGTGAAACGACTATAATCGCCAATATAAGTTACAAAATAGTTGTAATTAGCATGAGATATAATTGGTGCCACACCCCAAACATCACTGTGGATGATATCAAAAAGTTGGGTTATAGTAGATAGATGTATTGGGAAAGGTAGAATTTTACTTTTACCAAGATTACAAGGAATACAATCAAAATGAACAGAATTAAGAGATGGAATATGTTTATTTCCAAGAAAACTAGATTTTAGCAATTCATGAAGTATATTTGCGTTTGGATGTCCAAGACGCTTATGTCATACTCGATAATCAACAAAAGCATAACTATACGAAACTAAAGCAGAGAAAAACTTATAGACAATGAGAACTGAATTAGGGGAAAATGTCCAACTTTAGACCCCTTCGTGATTATATTCCCTGATTGTTAGTCCTTCAAAAGACAACTAGATTGTGATAATTATACTTGAGAATCATTCTTGACTAATTGACCAACTGAAATGAGATTACTAGCGAGACCAGGAGAGACAAAAACATTTGTTAGAGATGAAGAAATATCAGTAGTAGTTGTGATAGGCAATTGATTTCCATTTGTAGTATGTATCTTGAGATTTCCAAAACATGCTTTGATATTAGTAAGAAATTGGACATTGATGGTCATGTGGTTGGAAGCCTCTGAATCAAAGTACCAAAAGGAAGAAGATTTACCTGAGAACCCTAGAGCAGAGAATGCTTAAACGATCATTTGTTGAACCATTCCAGGGGTCACCATTGAAGTAGTAGTATAAGTATTTTATTGAACCATTGCTGGATTGGCTGAATTGTTAGGAATAGATGAATCAACTGAGGTTGTAAAAGATGTGACATTTCTCTTTGGTGGCCTTATTGGGAATTCCTTAAGAATATGTCCATCTTTTTTGCAATAGTTACCGAATTATTTTAGGTTGTTTGAAGCATAATGTTCCAATTTCTTGCAACAGAAACATTGAATAGCATTCATATCATGAATTCTTGATTTTCCTCGTGCTACATATGCCACTGGAACAGTAGATAACTTTTTATCTTCAATGATGGACTGCGTAAGGAGACGTTATTCTTCATGTAACATGTCATTGAAACATGCATCCAAAGAAGGAAAATGGTTTCTATGTGTGAGATTGGACCGAATGCCTTCAAATTCATATCTCAATTTCATAAGAAATTAATATCATTTAGTAGTTTCATGAATAGATTATACAAAACTTAGACCTTCAGAAGTCAAGTCTGCATAAACTATATCGGTGTATTCAGTTCAAAGATTCATGAATTGAGAGTAAAAATCAAAGATGGGGAGACTGTGTTGTTTAAAGAGAGGTATGTCGTGTTCAAAGTGAAATCTTCAAGCGGCATTTTCCTGATTGTATACTTTTTATAAATAATTCCACATTGTGGATGCTGTTTTATAAGGTCGAAGATTTAGGACAATGTTGGGATCAACAGAACCTAGGATCCAAGACATGACTTGAGCATCTTTGACTATCCATTTGGCATGTGCAACTTTTTCTTTTTCTTTGTCAGAGGCCGGAGTGTTGCCATCGACATGACCCCATAAATATTTTCCAATGACGAAAATATCGAAATGGAATGCTCAAGCAGAGTAGTTTTTTCCATTAAGCCGAACCAACAGGACTTCATGTTTTTCGGTAGACATGAAACTATGGAAATAGGAATTAAACAAGAAGGAGGAAATGAACGAGAAAAAATGAGAACATGAATAAAAGTGAAAAATAAGATCTTGAAAAAAACATACTAGGTTCTTGAATTTTAACCTAGGATGATACCATGTTAACTAAGAAAGATTTGGTCAAAAAATTGTGTTTCTTTTCATTATGATTTCTCGTGTAAATATTATAGTTACAAGTTGTCAGATTAAATTTCAACCCACTAAATTAGCTAAACGGTCATATGTACATCTTCAATTAATTGTGTTCCTTACGAGAATGACTATTACAAATAAATGTGAAATCTCAATATAATCATTTCTAATGATTAGTTAAGTATTGTCAATAAGTCGGTTGACATCCCTTTGCCTCACGGTGGGCGTCACTTGTTGTAAAAATGATAAGGTTTAATTCATATCAAGGAATTTAATGTGTGGGGACAAATACTATTATGTTCTTTATTTCAACACATCAAATTCCTTAATTTGAATTGAACCTTAGATTTTAATAATAATTGGTATAATTTAAAATTTATATATCTTCACCTTCATATGTTACTACTAACTCTTCTTGTTGAGTGAAATTAAAGGGAAAAGTTATCTAATTGCATACATTTAATCTCAATCACAAATCCAGATTAAAGGTCAGCATAGACTTTCGCTAAATAAATTAGTTTGAAAGTTGGATATCGCCCATTGCAGAAAAAAGTATGGTCTTATGTCCCGTTTAAACGTGTTTTATGTGCTTATTTTTCATTTTCATCAAGTTACTCATCTCTTTTATTTAGATATGAGTTATTTTCATTTATTATGTTATATGTTCTCTACATGTTACCTCGCTTTTTGTTAAATCCAAAGGGGGGAGTATACTCTCAGGGAGAATGTACTCCAATATTTTTCTTCTTAACCTCTATTCTATGTCACCTTTCTGAGAGACGCTTTGTCATCGTCAAAAAATGGGAGAATGAGGCTCTATGTGTGTACCATGTATAATAGGTTTTGATGATGACAAAAGAACAAATATAAATTAATCATGAGCATCATCAATATAGAAAAATATTGAAGTTATCAAAAAGAGAAGGTAAAGAAGGTTCTAATGTTTGAGTAAATATAGTCAAATACAAAAATCAACATCAAAAGAAACTAAAGTTGTGAAAGTTGGCATGATTTTATGCTTTAGTTTATATTTATCTGTTTTAGATCAATAGTGTGTAAATTAAGCAAAAATAAGTCTCAAGGTACTAAGACAATATGCACGCACACTAAATGATTTTACACAACTTCATCAATTTCAAAACCTTTCTAAAAATTATTTCTTGCTACTAACTAGTAAATTTAGAAGCATCCTAACCAATTAGGAAAGATAAATATCACTCTCTAATCGATTAGAACATGTATCTAATCAATTATGGAGTGAACTCACCACCTAAACAATTAGACTCTAAACCTAATTGAATTGTTTCCATATTGTCTGGGTCAATGTGATTAGCATCGCATGATGATTGATTAAAGAGCGTGAATTATTTTTTTTTTGAGTCAAATTGTTTCTCACATATAAAGGAGTCTTTGTACACTATTCTAAGCATGAATATGTGATTTACTACTCCTATTCCTCACTCAATCTCCTCGTATAAAATGTTTTTATACACGTGCCATTATCTTAATGTTAAAAAAGCGAAAGGCTTAAACTAAGAGTTGTGTAATTTATTGTTTTGAACAGATTGAACTAAAATTATAAATCAAGAACATAATTATCTTTTAACATTGTAAGTAATATAAACTTTGCAAATTGAATCTAAGTAAAATTTTGGCTTAAGAAGGCTATGAGTTGATCGTGGTGTAAAAGCTCAAGTTGTTAGTAGAAATTTAAAAATAAAATAAATCTTGAGGACTAGATTAAACTATGTGGTTTAAGGTCAAAGAAGTCTAAATAATAATAATAAAAATAATAATAATAATAATAATAATAATAATAATAATAATAATAATAATAATAATAATAATAATAATAATAATAATAATAATAATAATAATAATGTCACATTTGATGATAATAAGTTTGATGATGATGATGATAGTAAATTTGATGATAATGTCAAATTTGGCCTTAATATAAGGATCTTCATTTGACTTTTTTAGTTACATGATTGGGTTAAGTGTCTTCAAAATGACCAAAACTAGCAAAATACAATTTGTTCTAACTCACAGCCAACAATTAAATTTCACACACTATTTTAAACTTGTGCTAAAGAAGTGAATACTATACTAGCCTCATTTTCAATACTCCAACCTGTCAAATTTCTAGCCTTATCCTAAATTAATACATTTTCCAAATTTTAACATAGACAAAATTTACAACAAAACCCTCGAGAGCATGTTAGTTAAATTTTCTTAAATAGTAAATGTAAAACACTCTCTTCCTTTTTCTTTGTGAATTTCAATTCAATTCAATCTTTTCTATTATTGACAAACTAATAACTGTTAAAACAATATGTACAGGTGCTATCATGTTATTTCAACTGCCAAATTAAACACCTTAATTACAATAACTTTTTCTTCTCATTCTCAACATTTCTATCTTCTTCTTTTTCTTTTCCGACACCAATCTGACTTATTATCTTCATTTTATTTCCAAGTGCCTCGTTGCAGACAAATAAATAAATAATTATTTAGTTGTCTGTAATGGGAAATGGAAATTCAAGGGTAAATACAACTCAAGAACAAGGAGAATCAATACCAAACAAAGTCCGTTCTACAATTATCGGACGATTTGAAGATTTTAGAAAACAAAGGAATTGTGAATCAACCCTCTCAAAGAAAAAACTATTGAAAAATGGCGAAGAAGAAGATGATGACAGTAGTGTTTCTCGGTCTTCTGTTAACGAAACTAATGAAACCAAAGATGGTAAGGTTTCGATTTCGACAAAAGAGAAAACAACGGTGCCACTAACGACCACGGAAAATATTTCTAGAGTTGTTCCCGTGGAAAACATCAAATGCAAAACAACAGAGGAGAAGGTTAACATTAAGAATGAGATTGATGTAAGCAAAGATAAAGATATACGTGCCAATGTGAAAGATGAGGAAGAGATCAAAAGAAAGGAGGAAAGTATCAAAAGGCTAGTGGAAGAGGTAGAGAAAGAACAAGAACAAGAAGCGAGTGCAAAATGTGAAATGAGTGATGATAATGATCATGAGGATGATGATGATGAAAGGGAACTTGGAAGATTTCTATGTCCCAGATCACCGAGTTTCAGAATTTATTGCATTGAAGCCGATGAACGAAAAACACAAGAGAAAGAGGAAAAAGAAGACGAAGAAGAAAAATTTAAGAGTCCAACGCTCCAAAAATCGCGCAGTGATAACTGCCTAGAAAGTTCTTCGTCAAAGAAGACAAGAATCTCAAATGAGGTAATTAACATTCTCTTATAATTTTCTTTTAAATTGCAATCTCCAACCAGACAGTTGCAATATAATAATTTTTGAAATCTTTACAAAATCTTCATAATTAGAATTGCGACCACATTGGCCGCACATGCATTTGTCCAAATTTTTCCATAATATTAAATTAATCACGTAGAAAATGCTTCAAAGAAAGTTACGAATGCTAAATATATATCTCAAAAGTCAATATTGAGAACATTTTTTCTTAACTTGGTTGGATATTTTTGATAGGTAAGTGAGGTGGTTGAGAATGCACCAAGTACAAAGAGAAAGGGGCATATGATGAGGAGATTTGGGGCAGTAAGAACTCTGCTAAAGGTTAAGTCATGCTACCACCCAATTTGTACTTGTACAGGAGATGACAGAAGAAGCAAACTTGTTTATGCAAAAGCAACAAATTGATTATATGTATATATTTCATACTGTTATTAGGTGTTAGAATGGAGATATGTTATAATTATTTTATTTTATTGTATATTGTTTTTTTAAGCCTTTTTTGGCTTGTTTAATCTATTGAATTCCTATTGAATCCTCATCTTCTGATGAGATCAATCAGAATTAGACCATAACATAAAACATGCCTAGTACATATTTCTGGTTCTAGCTTTGGTGTAATTATTATTACACATTTTCATGTAAAGTTAGTACACTTGGCATAGAAGTGTTTGATGTGTATAATGTACAATGGAAATTATTACATTCGTGTATTAGAGGTTGAAGTTTGCTAGAAAAATTATAAAATTTCTTCTCATTTTCAATATTCATTTTTGGTTGTCATTTTTTATATTCTTGATCATATCTCATGTATTTTGACATTTTGGTTGATGGGTTTAATTTGAATCATACCCTAAGGGAAATCTCCTCCTTGAAATTTATAAATGTGAAAAATAAAAAGATCTCAAAGAGGAGAAAAGTTTTCTACCCAAAGATTTGTAATGTACACAGAATGGAACAAAAATACAGGAACCAAATGAGTGCCACCAAGAAGTCACGTGCATACATACACATACTTTACAGGCAGAATAAAAGTGGACTCTAGCCAGAATTAAGCAAGGAGAATAACCTTGTAATGAAAACTCACCTGCATGCACTAAATTCAAGCATATCATGCTTACCAAGGCATGGTCTAAAAAAGAACACATAATTTGAAACAAAATGTCAGAAGCTACTTGATGGTAATGTAGCGATTTGTTCCATGTCTGGCCCAGTAATCCTTAAGATCCAACGGTATAGATAAATCATGGCCTTCCGATGCAAACCTACTGAGAAGTCTTGTAAAAACACTGCCGCTCATTTTCCTACCTCCAATGCGAGCATGGCGCTTGTTTGGAAGCTGCGGTAGCGGATACATCGACAGTGTAGTAGTACAACAAGATGATTGCCACCCACCATTCCCCCATTTGTAGCACTGTCGTGGTACTCCGGTACACGTGCAAACTGGGACAGGCATGACAGATTCATCGAAAGTAATCAAATTCAAGCCAACATCCTGTCTATCCCATTCGGATTTGATCTTTGTTCCTTCAGAATATGCCTTCCTATTTAAATCCTCGCCCACTTTCTTTACTTTTGTAGGTGACTTTGATGCCTTGGAATTATCCTTTGTCATATTTGTTAGATGAGACGCGATGGCTTCTGAAGTTATAACAGTTACTGGGGAGGCATCTCTTATTATTATATCTGTCGAGCTATATGCTGCTTCTGTCATGTTGGATAGACTACGGTTTGAAGAATGGTGCATCCGCTTTGATCCACGATGATTTCCACCGTTGAATGAAAAGTTGGCAGAACTATTCCGACATTGAAGGGCTGCAAGGGCATTATCCCGTTCCAACAGAGCATTATCTCTCTGAGTGAGTGCTTCATCCCTCTGCCTAAGGGCAACGTCTCGAGCAGCCAAGGCTTCATTCTTTTCAGAGATAGCAGCTTCTAGTTCAATTTCCAGAATAGTAGCCTGCCTCTCAGCCATAATGGACCTAATTTTTTTATTCATAACTAGGGCATTTTGTTCCTTTATTTGATGCTGGGGATCCACATTCCACTGCACATTTAAGAATCCAATCCAATTAATCAATCAATTAGTGCAACTGCAAATTAAAATAACAGAAAGCATGCTAAATCTGTGTATTATGCTTACCGGGGAATGTGCTCCTCTGTAGTATTCCACCTTATGCCTACCGTTTTCATATTGCCGGTCATCGTCCATCTTGCATCAAGAGGATTTTAGAACAGATGCAGTAGTTGGTTTCAAGAAGTCTAGAAGTTTAAATAAACAATAATCTCTGGCTGGAAGACAAATCCTGTTAACAAAATGGGAAAAGCAACGGCTTGGCATCAAGTCAATAAACAGGAAGAGATGCATGTAGAGAGATTTTCTAAGAAGGAAGAACAAGAAACCTTCTTAAAAGCTTTACGACTAACAAATTAAACTTAGGTAGAACCAACCAGCATGAACAGCTTATATCAAAAGAAAGATATCACAAATCTAAAACTTCTTATATCAATAGAAGGACCGATTGAGCTTGTGTAGAACCGAACAGCTCAAGTCCAAGTTTGAATGAATACTACCCTCCATTATGGAGAAAACAAACGCTGCCACCATATTTATGACAGGTATCCAGAAGGAATGCCCCTTAATGGATACATGTACCCATTTATTCATTCAACTATAGTTTCTGTGCACAAAAAGCATTGATTTCTTTGTTATTTTAATTTGGAAACTTTAAGAGTCCCACAATTGCTAGAGATGTGGCCTAAGTAGTGCTTCTAAAGTTTGGATAGTTCTCACTTTACAAATCAGTTTTATGGGATTGAGATAATAGACTCTAAGCACAAATTCTAATATGTTATAGATATGTTATTAGGCCACAATCTTTGTTATTCCATCCATATTGTATAGAAAAACAGGCTTAATGTTAAGACACAGATATGGATAAAGTCCTAGTACTTGACATTGGAGAGAAAGCCCTTCCTACATGGGAAGGCTTATATAAAACAGACTGCATACAGTTTGTGGCCAATAAAGAGTGGAGTGTGATGTAATATATAGTAGCCCATCAAACAAATATCCTATATTTTCTAAAATCTTTAATATCATGTATCCATAACATACAACATATGACATCCCTAACATTATTGTGTCTGGTTCTAGGCAGAGTAGTCAATAGCAGCGCTATAGTGGGATAGCGGAGGCAGAATCCGGCCTCTACGGGAGGAGTTTTAGTGGTGCAGAACATTATAGTGGCCGCTGTAGGGTAAACACCGTGTTAAACAGGTGAAATATTCAAAGAACACTGACTATTATTGAAATTATATACCAAATGAATCCAATCATCTAGAGATAAATACCATGCCATAAATACTTAATAAACAGCACGGCGTCGACAATCAACTAAATATTAATCCCTCAAATTTACCAAGCGAAACGTAAACAAATTCTTACCACTATTTCCTTAACATGAATCGCACAATGTATTGAAAAAACCAGAAATTGGCAAGCCAAAAAACTTTCAATTCAACATGGTGAAACCCTAGATAATAGCCTATTGTAACTTTTCATAAATATACATGAGAGGATGGGCAGACAGAGCAAATACTGCATGGAATGGAACTGGATTATCAACTGCTCACTGATCCCAAGAACACTTTTTTTTATAACCAGAACTATCTTATGTGTACGATGTATCCACCATCGCTTAACCACGACCGGTCTCCGTCTAGTATCCTAATAAACACACAAGGTGGAGTTTCCCTTCCAAACAGAGTGTTCTCCCTTCGCAAAAAGCATGGATGGAACCCCTGACCTAACCACTTACTTCAGGTACCAAACGAAGTGGCCACACAACAACAGCCAACAACAACCAAGTCTTATCCCACTAAGTGGGATCAACTAGATAGATCAACTTCCACCATAATATTCTATCCCAATATCATGCTTCTATCCAAATAGTTAATCTCTGAGAGACAAAAAAGAAACCTAATAATTAGCATTCACCAATCAAAATCACTCTACACTACCCAAAAGGGAAACAACATAAGAAACTTACAAAACCTAACTGATTTTCATCTTGTGATCTCCATACATCATCAATACAAATAAACCTCTAAAAGGAAATCACTAAAACCACTTCACTTCTATACCATTTGATCAGTACAACAATCTCTAAAATCTCAATTTCAAAATTGAAGAACTTGTACATTTGACAAGTGGAAAGTTGCAAAGTGCATTACATTACCTAGAAAGAAAGGTTTAGAAAATAAAAATGGCAATTAGGAAAATTGAGAGTAAGAACTTACAGCTACTATAATGGAATCGAAGACGAAACCCACACCAGAACACAAGGACAGCGTCGTCGTTCACCTCTATGCGAGCGAGCGTTTCAGTCACCTTCTTTCTTCACAGAACCCCGTGTCAGGTTTGTTTTCTCTTTCCATCAAGAAATCTCATGTCAAAACAACGCCGTTTTAGTTTTTTTTTTTTTCTTTTGTTTTTCCTTTTCTTATGAAATCATCACTTATATTGAAAAAAAATCTATGAAAACAGAGAAAAAATAAAATAAAAAAACTCCTTTAAATTTTTAAAAAAATTGTAAAGGTGTACTCGAAAAATAATAATTGTCACAAAAATGTATTTATTTAGTTCAGAACTAGGAATAATTAGTGAAATGATGAGTGGTGTTTTGTTGATGTAGACTTATGCTTCTGCGCGATAGAGACTTGGTTGACTTCTAAGATTAGCACTACAACGTTCAAGTCAATGTGAGAATAAGGAGTAATGTGTGGGTAAAACTGGATTTAAATCATATATTTTTCTTTACGTGGGATATCTTATATATGAGAGTTGGTTGAAGTGTTCAAGATCGGGATTAGATGTGGGTTTTCTTTTATTGGACATTTGGTCGGCCTGAAACAACCGGTTGAACAAATCATCAAGATGAAATCAATGAAGTCGTCATCGAACGTTTTTTATCCCATCGGAAGGGAAAGGTAAACATCGAGTAAAGCTGATAAGGGTGAAATCAAGGTCAAACGACCAAGAGATACAGGTAAGGGGGACTGTTACGCGAGAGAAAGGTATTAGCACCTCACACGCCCGTAGTACTCTACGTTATTCACTCTTGTTGTTCTAATCAAAGGGTGTGTTCAAATCTAATGCTTAAGAGTTAAAAATAAAATTCAAAGAGGGAATGCATGCAAAAGAAAAGAGAAAATAATGTAGGGAAAATAAAGTTGTGCTCGCTTGGGCCCTATCCCAATGCCTATATATCCTTTTTGAGGAATCAGAGTTACCGTAGTTCGGCTCACTTGTTTTGGTTTGTTTGTGTTTTTTAGTTGAACAATGTTAGATTCAAGCATTCCACCGTTGCTCGACCTTTGGAGACTTACGACCTATAGTGGAAAGGAACTAACATGCTCTTAGAAGAGAAACGTCGATTGGCAAAAAGAAAGGAGTTGGTTAATGTTTTTTACCTTAAGAAAGGGTTTAAATTGTTAGAGAGTGTTTTTGTTAGTACAATGAAAAAGAAAGTTTTAGTTTTAAATGCAAGGATGTAAAAAGAAAGAAAACATCTAAGAAAGACTATCTAGAATCTAATCCATAATGTTATCATACAATGATGGCCCTATGTCAAGGATAAAGGGGAAATATCTATGTTAGCATGCATGGACTACTATCCTAAGGTCTGGCTCGAATCGGGAAAGAAACAAGCACTTTCTAAGGGAGCATGGTGTATACAAAGCAAGCAAGCAAAGGAAGCATATACAAGGCGAGAGTAGTGTATCTCAAACAAGCAAAAGAGAGCTCACACATGGCGAGAGTAATGCGTCTCAAAGTAGAAAGCTCGAACAAAGGGAGCACATGCATAACGAGAGTAGTGCACACTAGCTTAAGCAAAATAGCCTAACGAATATATCGCGAATCGAGGTAGGTAAAAGATAAATTAAGAGAAATGATTTAGCTAAGGGGAGTGGATCACCCGAAGCAAACAAGCAGGAGAGATGAAATAAGAAAAGAATAGAAATGCTTTAGCTAAGGGGAGAGGATCACCCGAAGCAAACAAGCGGGTAGCAGAGTGTCAGCATTGACCATTGCGAACTTCTGACAAAGTGTGGAGGGTTTGATTGCGAAACCCTTTTCCACTTGACGACTCGGCAACAAGATCTGTACAAATTCCAAGCATTGACGTACAATGTAAGCTAAGGACGACATGGACTAGAATGTGCGGGGGTTGGCTACTAACCTTTTCCGCTCGCCTCCTTTTGAGGGCTTATCATTTGTTGTATATGCGAGCACAAACGTAAACACACCTGCAGAATACCTACTACAAAGGTAAGGTTTTAAACAAATACAAGTAGCACGCAAAAATGCACATAATACAGAATTTCCTTAAACAGGTCTTTAAATAAACCAGAGGGGTTCCTGACATGATCAGCAACGGAGACCCCCATCATACATCTCTAGTTCTACTTCTCATGGCAAGGAAAGCGGTAAAATTTCTACTTTACATGATCTCTAGGAAGCAATAAGACGCGGAAAGAAAACAAAAGAGAAATGTACCAAACGAACAAAAGTTCGTAGCACCGCAAGAAAAGCAGAGAAACCCGGAAAACTTCTAGTAAGCTTCACCAAGCAACAAAGAAGAGTCAGAAATCAAATGTTCAGAATAAGCGTTGAATCCTCGTCGATGTGAAAATAAATCACAATCGAAATCTCAAGCATATCTGTGTATCACACAATAAACCTGCAGAAGACTCAGATCTCAACAAGCAAAGGTGAATTACAAATCTCATGTAATCGGATAATCATGATTTAATTCCTAAAAAATATAACAACATTTATATTGATTTTATACTTTTTTATCATGTGGAGAAAATTCAAACAAATTGAAACAACTAATGAAATTGAAAGAAAAAACATAGACAAACCCAGGGGTGTAAGCTGAATCCAGTGTTGTAGTAAGAAACTCCAAGTCTTATGCTAGGCCCAAGCAACAAAGGTCCAGAAGGAATCTTTATTGAACTTCCAGAAATGCCAAAGAAAACCAACGAGCCTAAGGAAGTGTGATTCCACTCATCACCATAGCCCAGTCCGAATTTATTCAGCATTCTACATCAATATTATTATTATTATTATTAAACTAAAAAAATTAAGGAAAACAATCAAACAGATGCGTTTTGGTTTTGTTAGGGTTCGAATCCATGTGATGTGACCCTCCAAGTTCATGAACAAAGAGTTCTCCTTCCTTCTCTTCAATCACTGTCGCGAACCTTCCTTCTTCCACCGCCTTCTTCATCTTAGTTTTCACCCACCGTCGTCCTTTATGTTAAGTTCTGGAAATCAAGACCGGCTCAACCTTCACCAATTCGAAACCCTGTTCATCTTCTTCTTACAAACCGTCACGGCCCTTTTTCCTTACGCCCTCTCTTGATCTCGTCATAAGATTCACTAATCATCACCTTCATTGCTTCCGATTCTCATAGATTCACCTTTATTCAAGCTCCAATATGTACCACCAGCTGCCGTGCACAAGCTTCGATCTCATCTACGATTCAACCTTCACAATCCGATTCTCCACTACGCTCATCTCCGATTTTGACGTTTGGATCACCGGATTCATAAGTACGAATTCCAGAAGACAAAAAACACTACACTCAAACAATTAAGATTTACACAAAGAAACTGAAAGATATAGAACCTGGATTTGAAGAAGACATATTTAGAGAGTCGGAGATGAGGTAATAATCTGCTTTTTCTCTTTTCGTTCTTCTTCTTTCATTATCTTATGTATTCGATTTTTTTTGCGTTATTCTGAATGTGTGTGCTGCACTATGATTTGAATCTGTGTGCTGCACTATGATTGTTGTTCTTTACGGTGGAGAGTTGAAGATTATGGTCGTAGGATCTGAGAAGATGAAGAGAGAATAAAGGGGTTGAAGTTGCAGTAGTGGTGATGATTCTTCTGAGGCGGTTGGAGAATGAAATAGGCTTGTAGAGAAAAAGATGAAGAAAGATTGATGAATGAGTGATTATGGTTGTAACGTTATGAGAAAGAGAGAATGAGATCAATGTCGGGGTTGGAGTGTGAAGAATGAAGAAACATGTAGATTGAATGATTCTGGAAACTGAAAAATGGTGGCCATCCCCCCATGAAGATGGATCGTGAATCTGTTAGAAATTCAGTTGGAACTTGGTTTATTTTAGGCCATTAGATTAGAAGCAATTAGTTAATGAATCAATGGTCAAGATTTATTCGGTTGGGGAATTTGAATTTCTGTTATGATGAGCTGGAAAATTCTGTTATTACAGTTAGTTGGATAATTGGCTAGGAGGTTGTTAGAATCTATTAGAAACAATTAGGAGGTTAGAGGAAGTTAGAATCTGTTATGAACAATTAGGAGGTTAGAGGAAGTTAGAATTTGTTATGACAATTAGTTTAGGATTCTGTTTTGACTAATGGATACATGAAGTGCAAGGCAGGTTTTTGATAGGTCTTAATTTTGTAGCTGAATTGTGATATATTGCTCTGGTTTATTAGATTTGATGTTGGATGTAACTCGAGTCTGAATATGAACCTAATTGCATTGTGTTTTTCTGTTTTGACTCAAATTGGTATGCACTGATGATGATGACCCTTAACTGGTTTTTTGGATGAATGTTAAATGTATTGCAGGCTGCTAAACTATTTTTCTGATTGAACTTGTGGACTGTTGAACTGAGTTGTTTATTATGTTTGTGAATACATCAGGGCTGCCCATTTACTTGATTAAAAGTTGGGTATGATTTTGTGGTCTTGGCAAAGGGAATGAGAAGAGAATGCTCAGGGCATGTTCATTTTTAGAAGTTTGAGAAGTGAACCAGGATTGAAGATAAAATAGCATGAAGATTGAAAATGAATGGCATAGGTTTGGGATAGTATTTTTATGAAATTTGTAATCCTTTTTGTTGATGTAATGTAAGTGTCAAAGGATGTAAAAGTAATCGAACTTGTATTTATGTGATTTTGTAATGTTTGGAACTTGAATGAATGAAAAGATTTTAGATAATAATGTGTTTGAACATATCATGATGATGAATGGAAATGTTTATACGATTTGTAATAGTGATATGGATCTTTGTTTGTAACTTTTTAAATCTCTTGAATTCAATGAAAATTTTCTCAGGTATTCAATGTGTTCATCCTTTGTTCTCGAATTGAATTTGAATTTCCCTCCATCCCTTTTGAATTTGAGCTTGAATACTCCTTTAATGGTGTAAATGCCAAGCAAAATCATAACTCTCTTGTTTAGGTAATTACAATTACTTCATGGTTAAGAATGAAAGGAAATTTCCATAAGATTTGGTTAAACCCTTTTAAAAAATGATTTCCAAATACTCTTGTTACGATGTAAGATCAATACAAGTAACCATGCTTGAACTTTAAATAAGGACCTCAAGTAGTCAGATCAAGAGATCACCATTTCACAATATCTTGTGCTTGAAGCAACCCAAAGTTGAAAGGATGAAGCATGAAACAATAACTTGACGGATGTTGAATTAGATGGCCTTGATATCTCAATTAATGCGCCAACATATTCAGGAATACACCAAATCCTAATCAAATCATAAGAAGACATACTCTTGATTTCCAAAAGCCAACCCTCAGATGAATATCAAATGTGAAAATTTGAAGAAGGGATACTCGAGATAATTGCCAAAGCCAAACTCTAACTCCAAGGACCCTTAAGAAGAGAAACCTCGATTGGAGCGCAATTGCTGAGAAACCCGACTTTGATCGCACATAGGGAAATAAACCCTAATAGACTTGTAGTTTGATGAAAAAAGAAACTCTCAATGACCATGACTCACAACCCTAATTGCATTGCTCGTTGCTTGAATAAGAAATCAACCTTTATTAGATACGAACGCCTTAACCACTTTAAAACCCTAATATTGCACGACCACTGAATTTTGAACCTCAGGTGCTTTATTGAATGCAAATGATATGCGGATTACCTAATGAAATGATGCAGATGAATGCAAAGTCTAAGCCAGGTAAATGAAATTAGGAAGGAAAATTTTGGGGTGCAACACGGTCCATAATAGTTTCCTGAAGGCTTCGTGTGATGTGGTAGCAAGAAGTCGTTTGAGAATTAGACGAAGTTCCATTCGTCAGTGTCGTTGCTTTAAGAAACGAAAGAAGTTTGGCAATTTACGTGAATAACTTAGGAAACAAATGCATTAAATGTTATTCTCATCATTGAGACATTTTGTAGGATTTCTTTGACAAGTGGTTGTATATTTCTAGTCTATTATGTGGTGCCTCTTATTAGGATACCCAAGTGTACTCAAATATCATTGTATTCTCGAGGAAAAATAGAACTATTGTTTTTAGCCTCTATATTTTCTTTTATGTTGGGCCATTGATTAGCTTGCCTTGTTTATTTGACGTCTCTAAAACTCTTTTCACTCTTTTACGCAAACCACTAGTTTCTTTTCTTCAGCAAACTCTTATTTTCTCCTCTAAGCTTCATCAACACTCATTTCATCAATCTCTTTCATTCTTTGACTCATACATTTCTTTGTCTAGCACACCCCTTAGCCGCCTTTTTAAAGTGCTACCTCCATTTTGGATCTTTCAAGTACCATTTTTGTCTTTCTTGTTTACAGTTTATTGTCCTCATTTCATGGTTCTTGTTATGTCCAACATAGAAGATGTACCTATAAATATAATAAATATGCCCAAGTAGAGATGATTTTTCTTCCATTATTGGAATACCGAACCCAAGAATGTCAAAGTTTGACCCTTTAGAGGTTAACCAACCTATCACAAACCTTATTGTGTTTAGGCTACACAAGTCACACAAGACAACCCTTAGGTTTCAGGCTAGCATGAAGTTTAGGTATTACCCTCTTTTGGTTTCGTTGGTTAAAACCTGTCCTATCAAGAGTAACCGGGTTCTAGAGGATCTCAAATCATTGACTACCCTCAATCGGTCATAACTCCAGCATCGCAATCTTTTCTTGCAGCCAGAACCATCGCGAGAGTTTAGCCTCAATGAGTGTAGCATACTGCTACTGTCCTAATGGCCAAGTTTGGTCAATTTAAGGTTCTAAGGTCGGTTGGTGTTTAATGACTCCTTAGAAGACCTATATTCTCCTCGTTGCAACACAAAGGATATAGGTACAGACCAAGGTGCCACACCAACGTAGCCACTGCTTCACCCATGTCGGTCTACGCCGGACAGGTCCCTCACAGATTATGCTACCTAAAAAAGATATTCCCCAGATCCGGGTTAGGATCTATGAAACTCCGATACAAAGCCAACAAATGTAAAAGCAAACAAAGCAATCAATTGAAAACAAAGGTGATCTAAGCCCTAAGGTTACTCCACTTTTAATTTATTCCCCAGCAGAGTCGCCAGTTCTGTGATACGGTGGGAGAACTGACTATGGTTTTGTGTTTGTTTTCGCAAATGTTTCGGTTGAGCAAGAGTCGCCACCGACTTTTTATTTTATCCTAAGGAAAGGTTTAAAAAGCACAGCAAAAACCTTTTGAGATGTTTTCTTGAGTTCGGGGAGTAGATTATAGAAAGGGAAGGTATTAGCACCCTTTCTATCCATGGTTATCCATGGGCTCTTAGTTACTTGCTTAGATCACTTGCCTTTTGTTTTCAATTGTTTGACATGGTGCTCGTGTGTGTGTGGGTTTGAAAATGTTTTGAAAAGAGGCCAATGTGGTGGCAACCTTTGTAATGATCCATGTTGGGATGTATACAAAGATGTATGTCTTTTGAAAAGGTTTTCATTTGTTTTTGAAAGTTGTTTTGAAAGTGTAGTGATGTGTGATTTAGAAAATAGGCAAGTGTTTTGTTTTGCAAGTTTGATTCAAGTAACTAAGAGGTTGTCTACTCCTAAATTTCTCAAAGATTATTGCTGCGTTTTAACCATTTTGACAAGTTTGTTCCACCATTGTATTTGGTGGACAATCTCATATTAGGATGTGAAAGGGACGGGCGCGGGTCATTGTTTAGACCATAATTGCAATGGTGCCAAGTATCTTTGGGCAATTTTTTCTTAAGGGACTTAATCATTTGTTTAGGCAACTTTTTGAAAGCGTCATCGAGGGACTATGATCATTTGATTGTTTTGTTTTGCCCAAAGAGACCTAACATGCAATATGGCCCATTTATTGAAGGCAACAAGTGGAATACCCTAGGGGTGCAAGTGTGATAAGTGTTGTCCATTTTCATGCTTGTTTATCTTGAAATTAGGTCAAACTATTTTTGTCGTTTTTTAATTCGCATACAAACCCTAATTCTAACATGGTATAATTAGAAAGCAATAAAGTGCGAAAAATAAATTTACTAAGCTATTACAACACAATATATGGGAAGGGGGGTACAAATGTTCAAATGGGGATTTTTGACAAGGAATTTAAACCTAAACTATTACATCAATATTGAATTATTTACAAGATAATTTAATTGCATAAATTAAATAAAATAAGAATAAATATGCAAGATGCAAAAATGGTTTTTTGTACGTATGGAAAAAAGTATTTTTACATGTCAAAATAAACAAAAATAAAAGTATTATTTTTTGGAGTTTTTTCATGTTTAGGGCAAAACCCTAATTTTATTAAATAAAATGTATTATTTATTTATTATGCATAATATTTATTTATTACAAAAAATAAAATAAAAATGAAGTATATTTGTGAAAAGGGTATTTTTATATTAAATATTTAACAAGAAAATAAAAGTGTGTATATTTTGTAATTTAACCTAAATATATTAATATCTATATAAATATTTGTATTATTTACTAAATATATATTATATATACCTAATAATAATATTTAATATTTTAAAAAAAAGTATTTTTTTATATAAAATATTTTCAGAAGATAAAACAAAATAAAAATGAAAATAAAAATGTGTTTGCATATTTTTAGCATTCTTTAATAAAAAATGTTTATATATTTATTTCTATACAAAAACTAATCTAAACAAATAAATACCTAATAAATAGGAAAATGGTGAGAAAAATATTTTTCATATTTTTAATATCATAAGAAAAAATAAATAAGTCAAACCAAAAAAGAAAAAGTCAAAAAGTCATAAAAATAAGCAAAATGGGCTCAGGGGGTGTAAAAGTAATAAAAGGGTGCAAAAAGAAATGTCAAACAGGCCCAGCCCAGAAGGCTGTCATCTTCAACCTCAGAACACTTTTGTTCAAGCAAACACGCGTTTTCTATCTCCCAATTCCTGGACTTTCAAGCAAAACTTTCAACATGAAAAATGTAGAGCATGAGAAGACGAATCCAGGGATATAAAGAACTTGACTTAACTCTCTAAGATGAGGGAGAACTTCTTCTCCCCCAATTCCTGACCTAGTTTTTCATCAATGTTCAGACTCAAAATTCTCTAAGCATACATAATATAAATGAAATCTAATCATATGGGCATGTTCATGGCTATGATTGTGACATGTTTCCTTCACAAACCTAAAGCTAACAATGCCTATGTAGAGAGATTTGTGTTCATGAACTTACCTGTTCAGTTGAAGTTGTATCTGGTGATTGAGGTGTCTTCAATGCAATGTGATGATTGGTATAGCTTCCTTGATGTTCAGGGATGCTATTCCAAGCTTTACTTTGTCTTGAAACCTTTTGAATCGTGCTAGAGAACTTCAGCTGCAAAATAAGAAAATGAAAATGGTGATCTTGCTTGGGAGTGTTACAGGTCGTGTCTTAGGTTTTGATTAGCTTCAAGGGATGTTAGGGAATGTGTTTGACAAGTTTTTAGCAAGAAAGCATGGAAGGTTTGAGCTATGGAACTCAAACTGCAGGGATGCCCTGTTTTGAGAAGTTTGAAAATGATTCTGGGAATGGGGAGGTATTTGGGGATCTTAGGGTCGTGCTTCAGCTTAGGATGAATGTTTGGAATGTGTTTGATAACTTTCTCTAAGCCTTGGTTAACTGATATGAGAGTTGGTACATGTTATGATGTGTTTCTTAAACTTTAAGCAAGCAATGGCCAAGTTCTG